AAATACCTAATAGTGGCAATGCTATATTATATATATTAGCATTTTTCTCAGATTTCGGATTAGACAAGAAAGATTGTTCCATAGATTTATAGTTTTGATAATATTGAAATAATGGATTTCATGAAGGTGATTATTTAAAGTTGAAATTGGAACCTCATCATTTTAATGATATTTTTTAATATTGACAGTCATGTTAGCATTTTACAACAAACATTACATTATTATTTTTAACTAAAGACTTACTTGCTTGAGATAATGGAAATCCATAATGTTTATCCTTTTTATTTAAAGATAATGAAGATTGATGTGTCTTAAAATGAACCTCTTGGTCATCACAATCAATATCATCTTTGTTTATTATTTTTTGACCTACACAACACAAACATAGAAAATATTTGAATTTCATCTAACAACTTGTCTTCTCATGTAGCAATTTTACAATTAAAAAATTTTTACAAATTACTTTACAGATTATTAACTTTATAAGTAAAATAGGGTATATAGTATGGTATATAATATTATAGGTTTCATACTGCTAAACATTTGGTAATAACACCAGAATATCATTAAAGAATAAAAATTTTAAAATGACATTTTGAAGTAAGTCACTCCCTTTCTGGAAACAAATCATTATATTTTTTCCTTTCAGCCTTTTTTAACTATAGTAATTCCTTTATAAAAACCACTGATATTATTTTTAATTTTTAGATTTTAATGTTGTTCCCTTTTTTCAAATCCAAATAGATTTTTTTGCGTTAAAAGCAGTTGATAATTAAGTAGAATTAAAAACTTAATCTAGTTTTTTTAAGCATTCAAGTTTACTCAACAATTAAGTTACTTATTAGAGTAAAATAATCTAGCTAACCACACCATTAAAACTTTATTAATCATATCTACTTGATTCAAGTAGAAATACAAACACAACCAAGTTTCAACGAAGGCATACAACTTTAAACTAAATATACTCCAATATATTTTCAAATTTAATTCTACAAAAAAACAATACAAACACTTGGTTGATTTAAATATATACTAATTTATATATTTTTACTTAAATAAATCAATTCGCCTAATCGAAGGTCACGCCATTATTTGCGTAAACATACTCTTTTAAATATTGCCGTTTAAATACTACGTTTAAAAAAAGTTTTTTTATCACGTTAAAAAAAACGTTTTAAAAACGTTCATAAGCTAACCGTAAGTTAATAAAAAAAATAAAACGTTTAAAAAACGCTAAAAAAACGTTTAAATTAACATTAAAAAAGACGTTTGCAAAAAAACGTTTTAAAAACGATTGTATTGGTTCTTTTAACGTCCGACCGTAAATTGAACGGAATTAAAACGTTTTAAAAACGTCCTGTGCTTACTGGGTATCTAAATAATATACAAAACATAACAGAAAAAATATTAGAAAAAAAGCATGTTTCAAAATTGGATGGTAGCCTACAAAATATAATACCAGGCACATAGCTTAACTATGATTTTATCACTTTTTTTTGCCTCTGTGACACAAATATAATACGTAAATAATTAGCATTGGAATGTTCTCAACACATTTAAAAAAAAATTGTCTAAAAATTGCCTCTGATATATAAGGAATGGGAATGAAAATGTCATCATTTAGAAATATAAATATTCGTTTTTTACAAATAAAAATAAACGGTGGACACTGCAACATGTCTAGATGACATATATTTGATGTCAATGTTATTAACAGAAAAGCAGCTTCACAAAGACTTTAACAAATTATTATCTAATTGCAAACAAAATAGTCAACAAATACACCAATTACCAGATGCAAATCTGTTGTCGACTTTAAAATTGCTCGTCGATTGCATTAAAACAATCAAATCAGAAAAAAAGAAAATCAGAAACGACCTACATTTATTACAAGGAAAATATGATGAATTACAGAAAACGTGCAAAAAAATCAAAAAAAACTAATGCCCTGCTTTCTAACAGCTGCAGTAATTTATCAATTTAAAAACCGCTTAATACTGAAAAATTTTTTGCTTCTGGTTAAATAGAAAATCATTCGTCAAATACTGAAAATACTTTAAATGACGGCGTACCTTTACGTTTCCCTTATGACAAGACTATCACTTAAAGTGCCTAGTCTAAAGACATACGAAAACGGAAACCAAAATAAATCCACCTATGCCATTAAGGTTCAAATGCAACCGCCAAATACTAAAAAAAGATTGTTCCTTTTTGGTAGTTAAAAAGATAATAATGTAGCAATTAAAGCCCCAACAGAAAAGTCTAGAATATAGCCCAAATTTTTGAAATAAAGTTACATTCAGCAGAAACTCTATTGTTGGCAAATTTACGGTGCGAGAATTTTATATCTTTGTAGGAGGGGTCTGTAACTCAATATCAAAGGATGATCTGTCTAACCACATCAAAAATGAAAAAGTTTTTGAGCCTATTGATGAAGAAAATAACCGTGAAAATAAATACAATCATTCATTAAAAGAAAAGATAAAAAGTACTGAAAAAGACATAATCCTAAACCCAGATGTTTGGGTCAATAATATTATCATTAAACCATTCAGGCTTTATCGTGATACCTCAAGAAGGAAAACACCACAGCAGAGCGCGGTTAATACACTACACTTTGTACAATCACCTCAAAAAATATTTTTTACATTTCAAGAACAACCTTCTTTTGCAAGGCAACATTCTTACTCAACTCGAATACCAAATTTTAATTCAAAATGGAAGGAAACAAAGTAAAATCTTCGAGAATTTACCTATCTTTACTAAACTTCTAGAATTTCTAATGCTACTTATATTACTTATAACAGATAGCGATTCCCATTAATTTGGTTTTTCCACGTATAATTTTTATTAAGCGAAACTGTTAAGCACTATAAAAACAATAACACGCCTTTATATATGTGCAGTTTAGATGCCAAAAAAGCTTTTGATACTTGCAACTGGGATTTGCTATTTGAGAAACTCTATTTCCAAAAAAAACTTCCGTTGTCTGTAGTACACACAATTATATCCTATTAAGGATTTACCTTAAATCAATTTAGTCTGTCATATGGGGTGCTACAAGAGTTTGTTCTATCACCGCATTTATCTAACATTTATACTAAAAGCATCCTAAATGTAATATTCTCAGAATGTAATGTAGGATCAACAATAAATAGCATTTATATTGGTGTAATTGCATACGCAGATGATTAATTTTGCTAAGTCCTACAATCTCTAGTCTACAAGAACTGATTAACAAATTTTAAACGTACGTAGTAGCAAACTTTATCAAGCTAAACACTCAGAAAACAGAGTTTCTGACTTCTGGAAAAAGCAATATTTCCAAAAATGTTATTCAAATTAAAGGTGTTTCTAGATACCTTCAAAATAAATTAAAACACCTGGGTTTCCAATGGGATAACAATACTAGCAAAAACAAAATTGCAACACTCCAAAAAAGAAATTTAAATGAGCGATGAGCGTATATCTTAGCTTGAATCGGTTACAATAGCTCTAATAGATAGTGGGATTCGTTGTTCCCAACCGTCAACAATAGCTCATTTGCAAAATACCTTAACTGCGCCAAAGTTTATTTATTGTCTTGGGCTATGCAAATATGATATTAGTTTACAAGCTATGCAAATATGATAACTAGCAAAATAGACGCTGTTAGAACAGCAATTTTAAAATCATTTTTTTGTATCTTAAAGTACAGTAAAAAATTACATACATTTGTTTTTTAAAATAGACGATATTTCAACTATTCTGCTTAGGAACAAAATAAATCTTTTTATCAAGCTGTTGAAAAATCAAACTTGCCATTCAATGATAATCAATTAATTACAGGCAATACAGAATAAAAAATTCTTTACAAATGAAGTGTTTGATGTCTGCTACACACTTGATTTAAACTTCATCCAGTTCATGATAAATAGCAAAAAATTTAAATTCACGCAATCTATCAAGCTAATGTTGTGTCAATAATGAAAGAAATGTTTTAGTTTTGAAGTTTGAAAGAAAAGAGAGAGTCGTTTAAAATTTTTTAGAGGAGAATGTTTCGAGAAGTCAGATCTAATAATTTGTGGAAAACACACCGGCTGGTTATCAGCATTTAATGGTAACATTTTTTTATAATATATTATATTATATAACATTTTATATAATTTAATAACTATTTTATTATAATTTATTTTACCTGTAATTTTTGCCGGGTAATAAAGAGAAAAAATGTATTATAAAAATTTAAAAAATTTTTATTCCACTGGTAATAAACCTCAGTATGAAAAATGATGCTTGTAATAAAATAACTGACTCAAAACTATTAATACAAATGGGAACATACAAATATATGCATCATTTTTGCATCAATATACTTTTCAAAATATTTTATTATTGCAAACACCCACTGTCTCTTATCAAAAACCCACTGTCTCATATCAAAAACCCACAGTCTCATATCAAAAACCCACTGTTTCATATCAAAAACCCACTGTCTCATATCAAAACCCACTGTCTCATATCAAAAACCCAATGTTTCATATCAAAAACACACTGCTTCATATCAAAAACACACTGTTTCATATCAAAAACCCACAGTCTCATATCAAAACCCACTGTTTCATATCAAAAAGCCACTGCTTTATATCAAATCCCACTGTCTTATATCAAAAACCTACTATCTCATATCAAATAGCCACTGTCTCATATCAAAAGCCCACTGTCTCATATCAAATACCCACTGTCTCAAATCAAAAGCCCACTGTCTCATATCAAATACCATTGTCTCATATCAAATACACACTATCTCATATCAAAAATTACTGTCTCATATAAAATACCTACTTTCTCAACTTCACTTTTTAATAGCTTTTCTCTATTTCCGTTACTTGTTCTTGTCATTTTCTTCTTATTGACGTCATCACGCGATTACTTTATTATTCATACTTAATTTTAATACATTACTGCTTAGATTCGAGCAGCCGTAGCGCAGTGGTTAGAGTTCTGGCTCAGAACTCAGAGATCCCAGGTTCGACGCCAGCTCCAGCCCAACAAGCGACATTGGAACGGAAGGAGGCGTGAACTTCCTGTTAAATGCTCTCCCGCGGTGCTCTATGATAAGACCGTAAGGACTTCTGGGAGCACCTAAATACATACAAAAAAAAAAAAATTGGAGGAAGAGGGGAAAGACGTTATGGGATTTTATTGGAAAAATATCTATACCAAATGAGGAGGCTTTGCAAAAGTCAAGATGGTGGCCCCCACCATCTTGACTTTTGCAAAGCCTCCTCATTTGGTATAGATAAAAACTTAGTTAAGTTTAGACTTCGCCCAATACGTGTGATATCTGAAACATCAAAAAATCCTGCGGACACCCATGAATGGGTATAGTAAAATATATCTGTCAAGCTGTCCGTCTGTCAAGCTGTCCGAACTTTAAACTTGTTTTATTTAAGAAACGTTTTACACTTCCATTTCTTAAACATTTTAGTTAATCGTTGTACATTAAAATTGTTAAAATAAAAATAATAAAATCATGCAATAAAAACTAATTAAAAGATAAAACATTTATACAGGTATTTAATTTTATAAAAAAAAACGCGGACACTTGCAAAAGACCATCAGGTTTTGTCATCAAGAAACGCTCGTAATTAACAATTTCATTAAATTGCAAATCAAATATAGTTGCATGTCCCTATAACA